CAGTGTCCCTTTTGTTGTTGATTTCTAGTTTTATTCCATTGTGGTCAGACAAGGTAGTTGATATTTCAGTTTTTTAAAATTTGTTGAGGCTTGTTTTGTGAACTAATATAAGGTCTGTTCTTAGAGAATGTTCCATGTGCTGCTGAGAAGAATGTGTAATTCTGTTGCTGTTGGATGAAATGTTCTGTATATGTCTGTTAGGTCCAATCAGCCTAAAGTAAAGATTAATTCTGACATTTCCTGGTTAATTTTCTGTTTGGATGATCTGAAAGCAAGTTGTTAAAATCCCTATTATTGTGTTGGAGTCTATTTCTCCCATTAGATCTAATAGTAATTGCTTTATATAAGTAGGTGCTCTGGAGTTCGGTGCATATATAATTAGAATTGTTATTTCCTCTTGTTGAATTGATCCCTTTATCATCATATAATGACCTTATCTTTTTTACTTTCCTTGGCTTGAAGTATGTTTTATATGATATTAGTATAGCTACTCCTGCTCTTTTTTGGTTTCCATCTCAATGAAATATATTTTTTCCATCAGTTCAGTATGTGTCTTTACCAGTGAAGCAAATTTCTTGTAGGCAACATATTGTTGGTTCTTGTTTTATAATCCATTGAGCCACTCTGTGTCTTTTAATTGGGGCATTTAATCCATTTACATTTAGAGTTATTATATAAGGGGCTGACCCTGTGGTGCACTCGGGAGAGTGCGGTGCTGGGAGCACAGCGACGCTTCCGCCGCAGGTTCGGATCCTATATAGGAATGGCTGGTGCGCTCACTGGCTGAGCGTGGTGCAGGCGACACCACACCAAGGGTTGCGATCCCCTTACCAGTCACGAAAAAGACAAAAAAAAAAAAAAAAGAGTTATTATATAAGGACTTGTTACTGCCATTCTGTTTCTTTTTTTCTGGTTGTTTTGTTAATCCTTTTTTTTCTTTTTTCTGATCTGTCTTCCTTTGTGATTGAGTGGTTTTCTCTAGCAGTGTATTTTAATTTCCCACCAATTATTTTTGTTGTGTGTCTTATAAGTTTTTGTGTTATGGTTACCATGAGGCTTACAAAATACATGTTACAGGTATAACAGATTATTTTAGACTAATAACAACTTAACTTTGATATATATATATATATATATGTGAGAAAGAACCAATGCCAACTCTATGCTTTGGTGTCCCCCCTACTTTTTGACTTTTTGTGGTTTTGAGTTACATCCTTTAGTATTGCCTTTATCTTATACAGCTGTTGTGTTTGTTGTTGTCTTGTTAGGTGTGTCCTCCAGTCTTCATACTAAAGATGTAGCACTTTATTCACCCCCTTGCAACATTGGAGTACCCTGAGGTTGCCTGTGAACTTTTTCTACTAATGAGTAATGTATCTTGAAAAGTTTTCTTGCTGCTGCTTAGCATTGTCTTCTTTCAGATTGAAGAACTCCCTTTTTAGCATTTCTTGTAAGGCAGGTATACTGTTGGTGAATTCTCTTAGCTTTTCTTTATCTGGGAAAGACTTTATTTCTCCTTCATATTTGAAGGTTTGTTTTGCTTGATAGAGAATTCTTGATTGACAGTCTTTTTCCATTAGCACTCTGAATATATCATCCCATGTTTATCAAAGCTCTATTTACAGTAGACAAGATATGGAACTAACCTAAATGTCTGTCAACAAATGACTGGATCAGGAAAATGTGGTTTATACACACAATGGGATACTATTCAGCCATAAAAAAGAATAAAATTCTGTCATTTGCAGCAGCATGGATGAACTTGGAGGACATTATGCTAAGTGAAATAAGCCAGACACACAGAGAGAAATACCTCATGTCCTCACTCATAAGTGGGAACTAAAAAAAAGAGAGAGAGGGGAAGAAAGAGAAACAGATAAACAAGAATCATAATAATATGTTGAAATCTCATAAGGAGAGAACAAAACTGGTTTCTATAGTCAGGAAAAGGAGAAGAGGAAGGATACCAAGAAATGAGTTAATGGACACAAAATAGCTAGTTAGGAAAAATAAGTTCTATTGATGTATGGTCAAGCTAGGCACCTATATAATAACAGTAATTTACTACATGTTATCAAATGACTAGAAGAGAGGAGATTGAATATCCTCAACACAAAGAAATGATTGTTTTATAATGATGAATATGCTAACTATCCTGATATGATCATTTGCACATTTTTTATTTTTTTTAAAAAGATGACCGGTTAGGGGATCTCAACCTTTGGCTTGGTGTTGTCAGCACCACGCTCAGCCAGTGAGCAAACCAGCCATCCCTATATAGGATCCAAACCCGTGGCCTTGGTGTTATCAGCACCGCACTCTACTGAGTGAGCCATGGGCTGGCCTGATCATTTGCACATTGTACACAAGTAATGATACTCAACTCTACCCCACAAGTATGTAAAATCAATTGTGTTTCAGTAAAAAGAAAAAAAAAAGATAGAAAAAGAATGGAAGAAAACCAGAATGTGTCATCCCATTCTCTTCTGTCCTGTAGAGTCTCTGTTGAGAAATCTGCTGAGAGATGTATTGGAGCTCTGTTGAATGTTGTGTGTTTCTTTTCTCTTGCTCCTTTCAGTATCCTTTCTTTGTCTTTGGTTTTTGATGATTTGAGGATGATGTGCTTTGTGGTGTTCCTCCTTGGATTGAATTTGATTGCTGACCTCTGAGAGCCCTGTACCTGCATGCCGTCATCTTTCACCATACTTGGGAAGTTCTCAGCCATTATTTTCTTGAATATGCATTCTATATCTCTTCCTTTTTCTTCTCCTTTGGGTATGCCAATTATGTGAGGTTATTTTGCTTGAGGGAGTCCAATATTTGCTGTATTTGTTTCATTTTTTCTTTTTCTTTTTTCTTCTCTGATTTAATAATTTCATATGTTTTATCTTTGAGCTCACTGATTCTTTCTTCAGTTTGATAAAATCTGCTGTTGGAACTTTCGAGTTTTTCAGTTCAGATAATACATTCTGTATTTTTAGAATTTCTCTTTGGTTTTTTATAATTTATTTGGCTTCTTTGTCAAGTCTCTCATTTCTGTTCCTGTATTATTTTCCAAGTATCATTTAACTTTCTATCTGTATTTTCTTGTGATTCCCTGAGCATCCTTTAGAGGATTATTCTGAATTCTCTGTCAGACATTTCATAAATCATCTGTTTCTCTGGGTCCATTGCTGGTGCTTGGTTTGTTTCTTCTGATAGTGTCATATTTCTCTGTTCTTTCTCGATCTTTGTGTCTTTACATTGATGCGGGGCATTTGACTCTGCCCTGGACCTAATTTGTTGTCCTTTGGTCAATCCAAAACGGGGGAACTTCCTGTGGGGACCAGCACATGAGCCCTGTGGTTGAGCTAAATTGCTGCTTTGCTGCTGATTCCCTCGGGGGAGGCTCTTCCTGCAGCTCAGATTTTAATTGTTGGCCTTTTAATCACTTCTGGGTCTTGTGACGTCAGGTACACCGGGCTGTGTGGATATTCTGGCCTGGGATGTCTTCTCGGCAAACTGTTCCCCCTGCAGTTCTATTGCCCTGACCAATTTCCCCTTAGTGAGCCTCTGCCGATGGGAAAGCAGATGAGTGGCCCACCGTGCACCCCAATGTTCTCCCTGCCTGCCAGCCTCCCCCTGCACTCCAAATGCTTCCCATGGGGTGGGCTGTGTGCCGGTCCCTTGCGATGACTCATCGGCCTCTGGGTGGCTCCTATTTTCCGTCAGCTGTGCCCCTCACTCTGTGGGTCCACATGAACCCTGTCAGTGGTCTTGCTGGCCCGGGGTATTCTGAGGCCTTCTTCTCTCCTGCAAACTCCAAGCAACTTCATGCAAAGGGCTCAGCTGTGGCTTTTGCCGGCTCCTGCTCCATGTGCTCACTGGGGCTGGCCCTGAAGCAGCCAGGGTCAAAGCAGTCAGAGTGGTCTCTTCTTTCTCTCACCGCGGCTTCTCCCACCTTTATGAATTCTTCAGGTCTTTCCTCCTCTTCCCCCGAGCTCCAGTGGTCCCAGGTTGGCAGTCTTTGCTTTTTAATAGTTGTATATTGCTTGGTTGTGGGAGAGAGTGATGCCGGGGACCGTCTACTCCGCCATCTTCGTGACGTCTCCTCCCTGTTTGTGTGTTTTTAAGTTGGCTGGGGTGGCTTGCTAACTAAGGTTGTAAAAAGAAATTTGGAAGGCAAACAAAAAAATATGTGTGAGAACCCATAGAGAGACCACTTTAAACCAGTCCTTATGGCACTGGACCGTCTACTCCGCCATCTTCGTGACGTCTCCTCCCTGTTTGTGTGTTTTTAAGTTGGCTGAGGTGGCTTGCTAACTAAGGTTGTAAAAAGAAATTTGGAAGGCAAACAAAAAAATATGTGTGAGAACCCATAGAGAGACTACTTTAAACCAGTCCTTATGGCACTGTGTGTGTGTGTGTGTGTGTGTAGGTGTGTGTATATACAGTCAGCCCTTTGTATCTCGAGGTTCCCCATCCATAGATTCAACCAACTGCAGGTTGAAAATATTCGGAAAAAAAGTTGCATCTGTACTGAACGTGAACAGACTATTTTTTTCTTGTTAGTATTCCCTAAGTAATACAGTATAACTACTATTTATATAACATTTACATTGCATTAGGCATTATAAATAACCTAGAGATAATTTAAAGCATATGGGAAGATGTATATAAGTTATATGCAAATACTATTTCATTTTATATCAGGGACTTGAGATTCCGTGGATCTTGGTATCCTCATGGATACTGAGGGATGACTATATATATGTGCATATGTATGTATTTTAACCAGATATATGTTTCTGCATATATATTTCTTTTTAAAGATAGAACCTTCGCATAGTTTCAGTATCTACCTGTGAGGTCTAGAACCTCTATAAGAAATTACTTTTGGGTATGTTCTCTGTACAAGCCTCTGCAAGCTGACAAGCAGCCCGGCGCAGCGGGAGTCACTGGTGGTGGGTGATGTTTCCTGCTGTCCACCAGCACCAACACATTTCATCCCTTCTCTGCAGACTCAGAAGTCAAGAACCTCCTTTCAGATGATAATTCAGAAGGCCTTACTTTGTTGGATTTGTTGAGCTTCACCTATCAAGTTGCCCGAGGAATGGAGTTTTTGGCTTCAAAAAATGTATGTTTAAGGGGCAGGGACCTCTTTATACCTGGCCACAGATTTCGGAGTGAGGGGAGTGTGGAAGGAGATGCTAGGAGATCTGGGAGAGGCCAGTAACAACGGCTGCTTCTAATGTCCACCGGCCTCACTTCCTCTGCCTCTAAGCGGGGCAGGGGGTCTGAGGTCATCAGGGATCCATTTTTCTCCAGAGCGTTCTCTTTCTCAGGAGTGGCTGGGGTGGTCCGCTGGGGTAGGTGAGCTCTTCATGCGATGTGTGTACCAGGTGGCCCCTAGTGCTGCCACGGAGCAGGCAGTCTGGCAGGGGTGATGCTGTCTAGCCACAGGGAGAGTAACCCTGAAGTTGTTTCTTCCCTTTCTACACAGTGTGTCCACCGGGACCTGGCTGCTCGCAATGTCCTCCTGGCACAAGGGAAAATTGTGAAGATATGTGACTTTGGCCTGGCCAGAGACATCATGCACGATTCGAACTATGTGTCGAAAGGCAGCGTACGTACTCTCTCTTCTCAATCGGCACGCTCATCCTCCCTCCCCTTAACCTCTGAAGTCAGCTGTTAGCTGTTAGCCATTCGATGCCCATATTTTTAACATAAAGTCCATGAGATTCATGAGTGGGCTCCAGGGAGGTCAGTAGGAACAGCCCAGGCTCTGCAGCCAGACCGCCTGGGTGTGAGTACCAGCTCTAGCACTTACCAGTACGGGGATTTGGGGCAAGTAACTTGACAATTCTGTACTCGGTTTCCCTGCCAGTAGCAGGGAGGTGAGAATAGTACCTATCTCCTGAATTGCTGTGAGGGATTAAATCATTTAATTCACATAAAGTGCTTAGGACAGTGCCTGGCTTATAGAAGCACCCAGTAAGTGTTAGCTACTAATACGTAAATCGTATGTATGCATGTATAAGCATGCATTCCCAAAGACAGGATCTCTAGTTTTTAAGTTTTTATCAGAGTTTCAAAAGGCATCTGTGACCCTCTAAAATATTGGGACCATTTGAATGAGTATATCTTAGAGGCACAGTTTTCTTACAGATAGTCATTCTATTGTATACTTGGACTGTTCTCCTATCCCTTCCATCTCTAAGCAAATGAAGTAGCTTGGGATACAGCTGCTACCTGTGGGTACAATTCCAAATACCCCACAGAGTATAGTTCACAGGGTTGCTGCATCTGCCCAGAGAAGGACACTGGCCTGGATCCATGCTCTGTGTGTTTCATGTACTTATGTGGCTTTGACCTGTAGCCATGGCTCTTCCTACACAACTTTTGGCACCTTGAACAAATCACTGTGCTTTAGTGGAGCCGATTTCTCCCCTGTTCATATAAGGTTATGAGTCTGTTTTCTCCCCAGCAATCTTAGAGGGCTGAAGAATGCTAATACGGCTAGTTATTATATGTACCTTCCTCAGTTAGTATTTCCATCAAAGGTTGGACTAGCTTCACAAAAGAGGCTGCAAAATTCATCTTAATGTCCAACTCTTTGTAGTGGTAGGAAATTATTATTTATTTCTTACAGTTCAAAAACTGTAATCAGCTCCCAGATCACTGTATCTATTCTTAATTTTGTTCCTAGGAATATCTGAAAATAGGGACAGTTCCATTTAGAGCTCACACTTTTTGAGTAACAATTCAGAATGAAATAGTTTTGGTCATTATTCCTTTGGAGGACATAAGAGACAACATTGCCTGTTCATCAGCTATGTATTGAGCAGCCTGTAGGTGCCAGGCTCTGAGGTACTGCAGTGAACAGAACACACACAGAGACACTCATGGGGAGCAGATAATTAGTGCACGTTACTAAGAGTCAGAAGAAACCCTACCCTTCTCCGCTGCTGTCGATCATCAGTGCATAGACTTGGGTTTAATCCCCTCCCTCTTCGCCTGCAGACCTTTCTCCCTGTGAAGTGGATGGCCCCTGAGAGCATCTTCGACAACCTCTATACTACACTGAGCGACGTCTGGTCTTACGGCATTCTGCTGTGGGAGATCTTTTCCCTTGGTATGGGCCTGACATCTCTGCTTGTCTGGGCTATTCTGGAACAACATGGGAAGGGAAATGTACCTTTCCAAGCTCCAGGATGTAGACAATGTTTAGATACCTGGTGGGAGCCAAGCACACTACAGCTACCTCACCATTATATTCCACCCCCAACCCCGCAGTGTCTGAGGTGGGCCCAGCAGGCTGAGACGGGGTCTCTGGGGGCTGCACACTTGCCCCTGGCAGTGCTCCTGAGACACCCACTCCCCAGCTGCTTTTTCGTTTTGGACTTTGGGTTGAATGGGCTTGTCAGTGGACAGGTGGCCATCGACGCTCAGGGGAAAAGCAGTGTGGCCCCTCCTGGTCGTCAGTCTGAGGAGAGAAACCCCTTAGGCACTCTGTCAGTCAGTCAATCAATCACCGGGTCACGAACCACGCAGGTGCCCTGTGCTGCCAGGTGAGAGCCCTAAGAGAAGGTCGAGGCATGACTCTGACCTCTGCATGGTTCACCTGGGAGATGAGACTTACACATTTAGTCATGAACTGTGTGGTACTGATTTTTTTCTTGCCGTTTGACCAGCACGGGGATCTGAACCCTTGATCTTGGTGTTACAACATCGCGCTCTAACCAGCTGAGCTAACCGGCCAGCTCTGGTACTGACTTAAAATTGTAATTTGAGTGTAGAAAAAGGAGATAGGAGTCCTGGACTAGTTGTGGAAAATTCTGAGAGAGAACTGAACTTGACCAGGCCTGTGAAACGTTTCATGAATTTATCTGCTGTCCTGATGTGACAGTAAAGTGCGTCTTCCCTCCTTGGTCTCCTTTGTCTGTCCTTGTTCTCCCTCTGTGGGTGGTCACCATGGACCATCCCAGGGTGTGGTGTCATGGAGTCTCATACCCCATTAAAAGCAGAAAATTATCTAGGCATTTCAAGCCCCAACTTTTACTTTTGCTTTAATTATTTGATCATTTTTGGTGAAAATGACTTTCTTGGCCTCAGTGATTCGGAATTTCTCTTTATTTTTCTTGTTCATTTTGTATATGTGGGTCCAGTAGTCAGAAACATAGAAAAACACTATAGCACTTTTTCCAAAGATGTAGAATTTTTGCCTAAGGTGCTTGGATTCGACCAACTAGAGTCCTAGTTAAATTTAACATTTGAGCAGGCCTCTGAAGTCAAGGAGATGACAACGCTTAATTTCCTTGAAAGAACCAGTAAGTACTTCAAGGCTTTAGGATGCAAACGGTTTTTTAATAGTGCTCTATCAGCACTATTAAAAATATAATAGTGCTATAATTATAATATAAAATTATAAAATATAATTATATAAAATATAATAATATAAAATTATATTATAATATAAAATATAATAGCACTATAATTAGTGTTTCAGCAATGAACTGCACATTTGTTAGTCCTGGTTTTCCTCTTTGACTTTTAGGTGGCACACCCTACCCTGGCATGATGGTGGATTCTACTTTCTACAACAAGATCAAGAGCGGGTACCGGATGGCCAAGCCTGACCATGCCACCAGCGAAGTGTGAGCTCCTTCCCCGTCCGTGGGCCTGTGTTCATGTCCAGTGGGTCTGTGAGGGTGAGGGACACCTAACACTGTGCCCTGTGCCCACTCTGAGTTCTGTCTGTTCCTCTGCAGCTATGAGATCATGGTGAAGTGCTGGAACAGTGAACCAGAGAAGAGACCCTCTTTCTACCACCTGAGTGAGATTGTGGAGAATCTGCTGCCTGGACAATATAAAAAGGTTTGTCTGGGCCTGTTAAGATGGGTGGAAAGGCATGGGCAATGGGAGAAGAGAGTAGCTGGTAGTTATGCCAGTGAGCAGTGCCATTCAACACTGTTTTAAAAGAACATTTTCAAAGGAGGAGAGAGACTGTGATCTAACAGTCGGGGCTTCCTGGAGCTCTTCATGGCCCTGGTAGCAAGAATGAATGAAAACCCTCCCATTCCTGCAGGCCTTCCCTTTCGTCTTAAGTGTGCCACACCTGTAAGCACTTGATTCTCCAGGTGTTTGAATATCTGAAGCTACTGTGTAGTTAGAAGTTGCAGGGCATCCACAGCCGTAAATTGCTAATTTGAAGGCCCTTAAATTCATGCAAAATTGGCTTTTATCTGACAAGAAGGAACAACCTCAGCTGTTATCTGTGGCTCCAGCTGGTTTTTTGTTGAGTAAGAAGAACTATTCAGAGGAACAAATGTAATTTCATGGAACCTAGCAGGATACGTAATGAATGAAACATTTCTCCTGAGACCTTGAGAAGGAACCCGAAACACACTTGTATAATAAATTTGGTTTCTTAAATTCGGATTAGTCACCGTGTAGGTTTTTCATGCTTATCACTTCTCTGCCATCTTCTGGAGGAGCAGCATTAGGGGCTTGCATGCTGTACTGGAAGTTAAATACTTTTGTCTGTTGATGATCTCACCACCCACCACAACTCCCATAAGTGAGGCAGTGAGGAGGCAGAAGGAAATTGACCTTAGTTTGCTCAAAGATGCTCTGATTGAAGGAGATGTGTTGGTGGGAAGAGATGGGAACTATTGTTGAAAATAGGGTCTTTTTATATCAAAGGTTAGACTTCCCAATGTTTAGGGACAAGGAAGGCTTTGGGTACAATGCTCCTCATGGAAGTCTTTGCCATCTCCTATTAGTTGGGAAGAGATGGGAACTATTGTTGAAAATAGGGTCTTTTTATATCAAAGGTTAGACTTCCCCAATGTTTAGGGACAAGGAAGGCTTTGGGTACAATGCTCCTCATGGAAGTCTTTGCCATCTCCTATTAGGGCCCCTCCAAGCCCTGAAGAGACCATGTGCTAGGGGCCAGATGGTCCTGGGGGGTGGGAGGGGACACAGTGTAGCTCCTGACCTGCAGAAGGGGCTCTTGGTGTCTTAAGACCTACTAATAGAAGCTCTCTGCCATTGGCGGCCCTTTCCTCATGTCCCACATCTCTGAGGATAGTTGATATATGACTCTCCTTCCATCGTCTAAATCCTATGTCTATGAGGTCATTTGGAAACACGTATAGTTAACTAATAGTAAGTTGTGAGTGCCTAGATTCATTCTGAGGCTTGGTCAATAACACTTGATTAAACATGTTAAATGAATGTTTATAGAGTTATGAAAAGATTCACCTGGACTTCCTGAAGAGTGACCATCCTGCTGTGGCTCGCATGCGCGTGGACTCAGACAATGCATACATTGGTGTCACCTACAAAAATGAGGAAGACAAGCTGAAGGACTGGGAGGGTGGCCTGGATGAGCAGAGACTGAGTGCAGACAGCGGCTACATCATCCCCCTGCCCGACATCGACCCTGTTCCTGAGGAGGAAGACTTGGGCAAGAGGAACAGGCACAGGTAGACGTGGCCTTAGCCTCTCCATTTCCCCTCCCCCCAGCACACCTGAAGGAGAGACCCCCTGCCACAACAGTGAGGGAAGCGAGTTCTGAAATCCCCAGGGGGTCAGTACTTTGGAAAGTACTTTCCAGATGATTCTAATATGTCCCCCTGAGGCTAGGGCTGGGGTGTGTGTGTGGTTTGTACATGCTTCCCTAATGGAGAATCTTTGACTTAAGTCCTCTGGTAGTTTGATCAAACTGATACAGCAACTGTGATTATTGTGATTATGTAAGCTTCTCCTGCTGTTGTCTTAAATAATGTTGAACTGAGGAAAAAACTGAGAGAGGCTAGACTGGGTTATTTGATGCTACCTCAGTGGCACTTAACCCTGGCTGCAAGTTTGAATCACCTGGTGAGATTTTAAAACTACTGCTATACAAGCCTCACCCACACCAGCAAATTAGAATCTCTGGGGATGGGGGTCCAAGTGCTCCCTGGTTGACTGTTCTTTCTTTCTAACTTCATATTATAGAAAATGTCTAACATGTGCACAATTGATGTTACAGTAAGCTGTCAGGTGTCCACCACCCAACTTCAGTGTCCGTGAATTCACGGCCAGTCTGGGTGCATGGACAGCCCATTCTACTCCCCCTCTATCCCCTCTGTATTATTTTGAATCAAATCCTAGACATCTTATCATTTCATCCATACATATTCCAGTATATATTTTTAAAAGTAACTGCAGTTGTTAAAAAGTTATTAAAAATATGATACCATTATCACACCTAAAAAATAGACAGTAAATTGTTAAGAGCATCAGATATCCAGAGGTCAAATTTCCTTGATTGTCTTACAAATATTATTGTATTTGGTTTGCTCTCTTTCAGGAAAAAATCTACGTAAGTCACACATTTCATTTGGTTGATGTCTGTATGAGTTCATCTGCCTCTTTTTTGCCCCCTTGCATCTTATTTATAAGAAACCAGAGTGTTTGCCTGTGAAGTTCCCACATTCAGAATTTTGCTGATGACACTCTATAGTGTCTTTCTTGCATGCTCTGTCTCCTATCTTTGTTGTGAGCTGGTAGTTAGTCTAGAGGCTTGAGCTGACTTGGGTTAGGTTTTTGACAAACATACCTCAAAACTGGTGCTGTCAGCAGGATTCCCACTGTCTAGTTGTCTCTTTTGTGGCATCAGCGGTCATTACTAATGCCCAGCCAGGACTGAGACACATTGGATCACATGGTCCAGATGTAGTAGACCATGCCCCAACTCCCCACTTTCTTTGTCTGCATGGTGACCCTCAGACAGAGGCAGGAGAAAGTGATGACAGTGGTCACGTCGCTTATGAGTCTGTGTTCTCTCCTCTTCATTTGGGTCATTAACTTTCTTCTTACTCAGTCATTCCATTAACTACATACGATTATTTAGGCAGAAGCACATAGTGTTTTTTTATTTTTATTTTTTTCACATAGCATTATTTTAGAGTTTTTTTTTTTTTTTTTTTTTTTTTTTTTGATAAAAGGTCATCATTAACCAATCTTGTTTAATAGATTTGGGTCATTTAGAAGCCCAACAACTCATTTTCATATTGTAATCTACATTTGTAGTAATACTACTGTTATCAGTAATGCTAAGTGTGTAATATGTAACATGATTTCCCGACAGAGAAAGCACAATATTTTTAAACAAACAACTTCTTACTAAGTAGATGACAAGTTTGATCATTTTTGGCATTTATATTAAATAACATATGTTTCTCTATACAATATGATAATAGGTTTAGTGGATTAAATGTAGTTGAAGGTAGAGAACAAAGTATAAGTAGTGTTGTCTGGGAAGTCAGAGTTTTTAATTGTGTACTGAACAGGTTCTCTAATCCGTTGTATTAAAAATAATTAGCTGCCCTCTGAAGTAATTGGATTAGAAACAAACAAAACCCGTAGTCCTAAATGTTCTCGATATAAAGGCCTGTGCCTAAGGTGACTTCTCATTACCCCATGGAAAATACAGCAAAAAGACTGGATTTGAAGAGGTTTTTTAAATCTGCAAACCTTTGGAGTCAGAAGGATGCCCTGACATCAGCCCCCTTCTTTACCTCTTACCCCAGAGAGAAAGAGCATGAAACTCTGAGACCAGAGGCATTGTTAAGTAAAGGCTGCATGTGCGTTAGCCTGGATCCTTAGTTCCCAGACAAGATTCTGGGTCCCCATTCCAGAGATTCTGAATTACTAAGTCTAGGGAAGAGCAGGAACCTGTTTGTGTTTTTCTTCTCCACATTTGGAGGGGAACCTACATTTTTATAAACTCCCTGGCTGCTCTGATCAACCAGTTTTCAGTAACACCAGCTTAGGTTACAGAAAGTTGCCATGGGAAAGAAATAATTTGAAATTTGGAACTGGACTAGAAGTCAACCACGTAGGAAGCCTACTATTTAAATCCTTGGCTTCAGGTCAGTAACATTTAATGCCATATATCTAGCAATTGCTACTCTTAATTTAACTTTCCAGCCTTAGCTGAGGCTGAGAAAGTGAAATCTTGGTTTTGGCAGCTCTTCCAAAATTAATGACACTGCTTCCCACCACATGTGGGAACTGGTGCACCCCCCTCAACACCCCCAGGAAAGGCATGTACAAAAATGATGCAATTCAGTGTGCCAAGTTTCTGTATAACCAGGTCAATATTTTGGTGGAAAAAATAATAATAAAAAATTTTACTGATATTTTGGGTTTAGATGGGAGGATGAATCGTCACATCCATCCAAATTCTCAAACTGGCTGTTGTGGGTTCATTGGCATTCTTGCAATACTGCTTAAGTGCTGACACCACATGAATGAAACATGGGCTGTGATTACCGCAATCACTGTATGCGCTGCCGGCAGGTGATGCTTTGGAAGATGTAGGAGCAATAACAAGGTACTTGACTACCTACTGGTGTAATCTCAGTGCAAGCCCCAACTTTCTTATCCACCTTTTTCGTAGTAAGTATGAAGATTGAGCCAGATTGGCCAATTAAAAACAAAAACCTAACTAGGTTCTGTAGAGTCAATTAGACTTGAAATACATTTGTGTTTCTAGAATCACAGCTTAAGCATTTTGTTTATCACTCCCTCTCCCTTGTACAGCCTCATTTTGTTGGTGCTTTACATTTTAATGTTACTTTGAGCCTTGCATGACATCAGAAAGCTGGATGAAAATTCTCAGACCAGCAGTTTCCAGTCTTAACAGATGCTCCCACCTGAGTTTATATATGACTGCATTTTTTTTTTTTTTTTAACAGTGTTTTCAGCATATCCTAGATTTGTTTCCTTTTTGGTCTCCTGCAAAGTCCCCAGAAGAAAATTTTCCAGTCCTTCCTGATTTCTATTTTCATGATGACAATCAAAGCTGGCCTGAGAAACACAATTTGTTACTTTTTAAATTATCAATGATATCCTTAAAATGTGGTCTGCCAATCTGTACAAAATGGTCCTATTTTTGTGAAGAGGGACGTAAGATAAAATGATGTTATACATCAATATGTATATATGTATTTCTATATAGACTTGGAGAATTCTGCCAAAACATTTATGACAAGCTGTATCACTGCCTTTGTTTATATTTTTTTAACTGTGATATTCCCCACAGGCACATTAACTGTTGCACTTTTGAATGTCCAAAATTTATATTTTAGAAATAATAAAGAGAAAAATACTTACATGTTCCCAAAACAGTGTTGTGGTGAGTGTGTGAGAAGAACTAACTTGGTAGGGAGGGTCAACTGATACAAAATGTCTTACAAATGCCCCTGTTCATGTTTTCATTTTAAAACGTGTAAATGAAGATTTTTATATTTCAATAAATGATATATATGTATAATTTAAAATTATGCTAAGATTCCAGCATTTTTGTGTTTAATCATAAAAATTAAAGAAAGCAATCCTGTTCAACGTAATTTTCTTAGCAACATTTCAGTAGGACTCTATAGTATGCTTTTGATGAACCAGTAGAAAATTTAAGATTTAAGACACTATTTGAGCTAGTTAGTTCTTAGGCACAGCATTTGACTTAGAGATGACTGGATATGGCTCATCTTTTTTTTTTTTTTTCCTAAAGATGACTGGTAAGGGGATCTTAACCCTTGACTTGGTGGTGTCAGCACCACGCTCTCC